GCCTGTACACGTCACAGGGGCCATCTGCTAGCAAACGAGGGCAGTTTTTCTACACACACTCCATGTTTGTACTCATTCCACGTTGGCTCTTCTGTGGTATTATTACTGCTGCTTCTACAGAGGAGCGGTTTATTCATTATTGTTCAAAAATGTCATCAATGTGGATAAATAATGCCGCATAGACTTTCTTTCAGTAATGGGTAATCTATTCACTGGAAATGACTGTTCAATTGAATCGTTCAGGCTATTCACATGAGTTATTTTTAAAATTTGAACAAAGCTTACTCAAAAATGATTTATTCGTGTTCTGAATGCAAGCATATCCGCTGTAATAAAGTTAGAGTTGATCCTTCAGGATGGTGCAAAAGATTGTGTTTGATCAACATTGTCTCATCAGATCAGGGATGCGAATAATTACACCGGTCCAACGGCACATTTTAATCAGCAATGGCATAATGTGTTCCAGAGTGTATTTTTGATGGTGATGATGATCGTTGATAAATTTAAATTTAGAAACTGTTGACCAGTGTTATCAAAATGGAATGCAAAACCTGATCAAAATGATGAATATTTTTCATTATGACTCTAAAGCCCGCATACACGCATACTGATAATCAGGTCAAATTTGAACCCGAGTCCCCACTTCCAATCAGTGCGGAGAAGAGCAGTCATCACACAACATGGTGACCGCCCACCCTTCCCTCATCTGTGGAGTCTCTTAAAATGTGTCGTAATAGACCGAACTTCTCTCGTCTTTTTGTGACGTGTTGCCACAGACCTTCTTCCTTCTGGGTATTTATTATCACTTGCTCATTTATTTTGGCGAGTCCACTTCCAGGGATTTTCTGTCTTTTTTCCTTTAATTAATTATCAGGTTGGGCCAGGTGATTTCCGGATGGTGTTCCCACACCTGCAGCTGATCAGCAATCATCCTCCTGTGTATAAGACCTCTGCTGAGCTGCAAGCGGGTGCCAGATGACTCGGGTGTTCTGAGTGGTAGTCCGGTCATTACTAGTGTAAATGCCATTTTGAACTTGATTGTCTTTTTACCTATCCAGCCTGGCTCTGCGTTTTTCCTCCACGGACTACTGTTCTCCTCTCCCCCGAAGTTCTCCTACCCTAAACCGGAGCTTCACTTTCTTGTTTACGAGCCACCATTGTGTCCCGAGCTGGATTATCAGACTCTCTCTCTCACTCTATTTAAATACTCCCTTTAACCTCTGACAAACAGTCTCCCATTCGCTTTTGGATCCACTGTTGCCTTGATTTACTTTAGTCATCCATAACACTTTTGCAACTGAACGTGTCATTTTTGACTAAAATATACCCATGGAACAAATATGAAATACAAGTTGACCAACTCAAGATGTGGCATCACCAATACTTTTGGGCATATCTGTCCATACAACCTGAAAACATAAAGGTAGTGCAATGTGGAACCTAAAAAGGCAATTGTTTGATTTTTTTTATTTTTTTTTTCTTGAAAAACTCCCTGGAACATGGATGCATGCAATATTGTGAGGCCACCACCTGTCAGAATCTACTAGAATGCAACTTCTCCACATCACTTCCAATGACAACCCTTTTAAAACTGGGAACTCCTTTACAACGTGCAATTCATCTGCCTCGGTCGGTGCTGCTCTTTTTGTTAGCAACGACGGCGAAATGGGCATGGAATTTAACTCCTAAATGTCTGATTAAATGAGGAGTCCATAAACTATGATCATGAAAACTGGGAGGGCCTCCAGCGAGACGCCTATTTAAGTACAAGCCTATATTTATTTGTTCCAGTGGTTTATGTCGCATCTATTGGAACGCCTTCTAGTGGTATGTACATTTGCATTTAAACTTTGAAACTGTTTGTTTACATTTGTTCAGGTACAATTTTTATTATTTTATTTATTTCAAGAGACTGCTACCGACAAGCATTTGCTGCGCATGTGTGTGTAGATTTTCTTCGAAAGTGACATCGCCAAATACTGGCCAGGCATGCATAATAAGGTCTATTCGAGAAAAAAAAAAAACAAAAAACGGTTTGAACACGGTTGTTACCATGTAAATGTACCTTTAGTCGTGACTCATCAGCAGAAAGCTTCGCAAGACATACTGTACATCATGCTAATGGATACACTTACTAATGCTGTGTCTGTCAGAGGCACAGAGTGAATACGGTCTTACTTAGTGAGTAGGCAGTGACCTCTTAAAAATACAGACCGGGGCCAGGCTCCACGTTGCTACTTCAAAACATGGCCTGCAGAGCCGGGCTGGCACACAAAGCTATTTTTAGCCACAGGCTCAAAGGGGGAGCTCACATTCCCGGCTGAACCGTGTCACTCGCAAACTTTTTCGGAAAAGAGCACAGCCTGCGAATGTACATTTACCCTCCCCAGAAAATACGTGAGTGTGTCAGAAACAACAACAACAACAATAACACAAAAATAAAACGAGCTATGATGCGCATGTTCGAATTAAAATGTGAGAATTTTTTTTTTTTTTTAAACCGTGTACTCAGCCTACTTGACAGTGGCGTGTGTGGTTGCATAAATGCAGCTCCCCGATGAACCTCACTGGATTTTCACACACGACTTATTGACAAGTGGCCTGTGTTAATTAGGCTGACCCGTGCGAGCACACAATGTAACACCTCCCAACCCAGCCTTGCCTGGCTATTTATTAACCACCCCCCCCCATGGCGAACTAGCCAAGTTCCTGAGTGGCAGATAAGAGGCTGTTTGGAGACGTGTACTTCAGATAAAAGAAATCTAGGCGGGGAAAAAGCCAGCGGCCTCATGCTTTGGACTGACTTCACTGCTCATTGTGAAGTCAACATGTTCTCTTGTGCATCCCATTTAGACATGTGAAAACATGCACTTGCACACAGAATATAATAACCACGGCAACCCACACAATCTGCGACTTGGCAATTATTATGCAATATTGCTATCAAGGTAAATAAGGGCTGAAACAAGTCCTTGAGTAATTAGTGTACCTCGGTTAAACAAAAACGCTCGAGGTATTTTTTTTCTGCCTCGAGTACCGATTATTTCTGTGTACACTGGCAGGAAGATGAAGTCAAGCTAAATGCTGCAACAACATCTTGCCCGGTGAGGTAATTAGTCTCCTAATGGCCGCCATACATCGAACGGAATTGGAGCGTTAATCTGATGCTTTGGTTATCAGCCCCGTGTGTCAGACGTAGCCAAATACAAAGTCCTGCCTCGGACTGGGGCAACACCGACAGATGAGACACTATCACTGTAATCAAACACCAAGGATTTAGCTCACAGAAAATAAACTGATGCTGACGAGTATTGGTTTACATCATGGGGTATGGATTTGTCACATGATCTAACTGAATCCCAAAGCAGTGTCTTGGTTTTAAATATGGATGCTTGCAAGTAATCTCTGCAAGCACTTGTTATGAACGGCCTTGACTGTCCCTCAGAGATTCACCTGAAAAGCAGCTGAACTGTATGTGCGTGCTCCTCAAATCTGAATGGCAGGACGTACAGGTATTGAAGACAAATGTCCCGATGGACTGAAGTGGTGAACGTCCAACACGTTCAAATTTCTACAGTGCTTAAGATGGAGTATATCCAAGCTGACTACTAGTCTATTGCTATAAATAAGCCATTTCCGGTTGTTAGGTGCTCATCATATTTCTCCCTTTTGCAATAACAAGTAGAAGAAACATGTTTTGATTCCAATCTGTTAGGCCCATTCAAATATATAGATTCCACTTTAGTAAGGTATGATCAATAACACTTTAATAACTTACCATCATCCAGTGTGATGTCTTGTAGGCCTATCGAGCGGAAGGTAGGCTCCCTATCCTCCGGCTCTTCTTTGATGTTCAGCCTCTCGACTTCCGATGTGAATGGCCCCTGGGGGCTTAGTGGGTGCACCAAAGGCCCCGCAGCAGTCGGGGACAAGCCGGCCATGACCGGGCTAGCCGCCTGAGGAGAAGGATGTCCTGAATGCGGATGCTGCAAGGGGCCCAAGGGACTGTTACCTGGCGAAGAGGAAGTGGGAGACTGGTAGGGCAGCGAGTGGAGCTGAGGGGAAGAAGGCCCGGAATGGGCTGACGGGATCATATGCGGAGGAGGGGCGGTGCATGGTGTAGGGCAGGAGGCTGAGCGTTGACTCACTGGGTGGTAGCCCATGGCCCTCTGAAGCTGGGAAGAGTGGGGCCCCACGAGTGGGGGGCCAGTAGGTGAGGGCACCTGAGTGGGATTCGGGGAGCAGTGGTAGCCTCCCATCGTGTGGAGGTGTGGGGACGAGGGGGCGAGAAGGGGTTGGTGGCTTTGCGGAGACCCCGCGATGGGGCCTGACGACACGGGCGTTGACGGGGACGAGCAGGGGGAGGAGGAATACACTATCCCCATGCCCAGCGGGTGTGACGCAGCACCGGGGCTTTGCTGGAAAGGCATCCTGTCATAGCTCTGAGGAGAAAGGCTTGACTGGCCGTTGAAGGACAGGCTGTGAGCGTGACTCTGGTTGCGCTGCATGGGCTGGTACGAGGGCCGCGAGGGCGACGGGGAGGCAGGAAGTGGGACGGGAGAGGAGCTCGGATGGAACGTCATGTGGCAGTCGACGGGAGCGTGGTGCAAACTGCGACCCTGGAGGTGAGGCAGGTGCTGGAAGGATGGGGAGCCTATGGAAGGGCAGGGAGCCTGCAGGGACAGCAGGACGGGTCCCGAGCCCGAGGCCAGACCGTGCGGGGAGGTGGACAGAAGGTTATCCGATGGGTGGCCCTGATCGGGGGAAGGCAGCTGAGGGCGCACCAGACTGGCAGCATGTGTCAGGGGCATGGACATGGCAGATACAGCGGGATGGTCCAGCTCATCCCGGTGTTCCTGTTTCACCATCACTGAAGAGAAAGAGAGAAAAGAAAATACATTTCACAGAAATGCACATAGGTGGCAAACACAGTTTCTGGTTTTATTTCTCCAAAGTGTCTGTGCTAAATTGGACCAATAGAAGTCATAAGATGAGGAATTAAAATGCAGGGGGCCGGGGACAAATGAGTGCAATTCAAACTCTGATTGATTGAAAAAAATCTTCTCAGATTTTACATTGATACAATAAACAGGACAGTTATTTCAGCTCTCAGATTTACCAACTGTACCTAATTGTGATTCTTTTCAAAAAATTTATTTATTTTCCTTCAGCTCAGAATCAAGAGGACGAGCATATGCTGCCGGTCAGTCTGGACGCCATCACATGAAATGCTGTGTGACAAGCTGAATGCCTGAATGCCCCCCAGCACGGATCAGAGCAACAGAACAAACGAGTTCATTGATCTCACGCCCTCGACTCACCCCATCACCCCTCTGGGATGAAGGGACGAGGGGTAAAAAAAAAAAAAACATTTAAAAAAACGAAAAAGCTAAACAAGCTTTCCCAATGAATCCACACAAATATGAGATGATAGATGTATACAAAGAAATTATTTTCAGCGGACCCTCTGAACTATAATCGTTTGCCAGTCAAACAACTTGGATTTGATCCGAGGATCCCGACGACAATGCGGCGCAGTTCACGGCTCTCAAGTTGGGGGTTCAAATTGAGGCAGCAGCAGCTTCTTTCGTTCTGTGCTGTGTATGTATGACCTCCGCTGTGCTTGCATCAGTTTTCTCCAGGTTCTCAGGGGCACAACTAACAATTTTTTTGCAGCTGTAGTTTTATGGGAATTAAGTCGCATTTTAGATGGCCGAAATAGGCTCCAGCATGCCCTTGACCCCCATGAGAATCAGAGGCTCGGATTATGGCTGGATGTTTAGAAAATTACTTTATTTGCAGTGTGATTTAGTAAAACAGAGTAGATCAGTAATAACAGGATAAAGAGAGTTAATTCTAATTTCCAGTAGTGCATGGGTAATTCTTCAGTATGTGGCGTCGTCTGCTACAGCGATCGCTACCACACAGTCCACAACAAGACAGGAAACATGACTTATTAGACCACCACCTCCAACCCACACACTCACACACAAGCATATGAACACAATAAAGCAGGTGGTGTCTGCGGTGCCTCTGATGGTGTCACCGAACCTGCTTGTGCGAACAAACAGTGCAGGGTTTACTCTGCTCTGCCGTCATTGGCTGCCGCAGCCTGTCAAAAGGGAACAGGAACAGGAACCGCCTGAGTGGGCGTGCTCGCAAATAGAGGGCAGGTGGGTGGAGGGGCATATACAGACACGCACGCACACACACACACACACACACACACACACACACACACACACACACACACACACACACACGTCGTTTTGTCAATTACAGAATTGTATGTAGTAGGCTCAAGTTTCTGTTTGACAGTCATCTCTTTGCTTACAATAAATACAACCTTTACCTTAAACGCATGGTACGGTCTGTTTAACAAGCAAATGTGGGTCAACTAAATGTTGTTGTGAACACAATCAACAAACCTTAAAAATGAAGAATGTTAATGGCATTATTTATTGAAGGCACGACACACACACCAGGAGACACTCAAATTATGGCATCACACACTCAGAAATCTCGACCCACTACATTGAACAGAAAAAGAGTTCAGACCAAAACGGGCTTGTGAGTTAGTGAAGGTTTTACAAAACCAACAGCAAGCAGGTGTTTGTGACATGGGGGTACTCCACTGCGTCACAGTCAGGTTCTTTAGACTGACAAAATGGGTTAGTGATACAATAGTGTACTGTGCTCTGTAACTGTTGTGGGAGGAAGCAGGAAGCGACAAACAAAAGGAATCCATCATGTCTGGAATTAATTGATTACGCCCATAGAAAAAGCAACATTTACAAATCATCGAACAATAAAATGGTCCAGTAATAACAATGATAATAACAAAAAAAACAAAAAAACTTAACCTCACCTGAAAGGTAAGTGAAGCGCTGGGATTGGCTCCTTTTCCGTTTTCCATTGCAGACATAAAACTGCACTTGCACAGCGGAGCTCACAGTCTTACTGTGGTACGGAGGGACTTCCACTACAATACATGACTGCGTGAAAAGCAAAACAGTGCTTATTATTTAAACACACCTTCTCCACTTGACAAAAAAAGAGCTCGACAGCGGAACCTCCACTTGATATCCGAGAGCAAATTTGTTCACCTCACTTGAACTAATTTCAGCCAGCATCAGAGGACTACCTGAATGTGTGCGTTGAATTTTATCATCCATCCATTTTAGACTTGGTGCCAGTCAATCACGGGTTTTGGCTTTAAGTGTTCAAGTGAGTGACATGATAGTTTAAGATGACCACTAGTAGTCATGTGTGCATGAATTTTGCTTCTGTTTCACTTTGGTTAGCATTCTTGTTAGTAGTTTTATCCCGTAAGGTTTCTACTTTTCTTAATTGTTCCCATTCATGAGCAGTTTGTCTTTGATTGATCTGGTGTTGTGCATGTAGTCCATAGGTGGGTATTGCTTGATAAGAAGTAGTGCTGAGCAAAAATGGAGCCTGCTACATTAGCTTCTCGCACTAGCCGCTAGCTGGAGCCCGATTAGCTGGCAATGCTTATCACTGGTGATCAAATGGTAGCGTTTGATGCATGTTTTACATTTACTATTTACATTGCATGACATTTATTACCTCCCCACATTTATATTTTCCATTTTAAAGGTCTGCTTTTGTGTGTGAGATAGTTTATACTGATACCTTAAAACAGTTAAAGGTTTAATAATATTGACATTTTTGACAAATTATTCAAAAAGTCATTTCAATTGGAAATTTTATACGGAAATGCAAGCAAACCAAAGGTCGACCAGGTTGTGCTCCACTCTGGAGGTTCCACTCTATTTAGGTAACTAACAGACTACTCACGCCTTGAGTTTTCTCCCGGATGATTTTGGCCTCCACTTCCCACTGTGGCCGCGCATCTAACAAGAGAGTAGAGAAAAGAGGGGAAAAAAATAACTTTTACCGTCTGCACTGATGAATGTGGCTAAGGAACCACAGGATTTGTTACTGACGAGCTTTGTGTCCTCCTTTTCGAGGCCCAGAGGCCACGTGGAGAAAATCTTAGTAGCGGTGACTTAATCACAATCAAATGTCCAAATAAACCTCCTATTTGTCTTGCCTGGCTGACATTCTAAAGAGCACAGTGGAATCACTGTATTTATTTTAACTGCTGAAAAACATCCTTTGCCGTTTTCCAATGTTGGATCTAATTATTTAGACAGACATCGTAGGGAACACTGACAGGACCCTGTGGTTGGAAGACACTGAAGCCATTGACTAAACGTTTATTTGACTTGCTACGTTAGCACAGAATGTAGCTCTGAGCTGTATTATTTGAAGTTTGTGTTTTAATGATGTTACCACAGTCTCTACCTGCATAGCGTCTTCCCCGCAAAACCAAAGTTCCCTCATAATTCCAACCAAAGACATCTGCGTCTGTTAGCGAGGGTGAGTCTTTGTGTAGCTTGAGCACACTCTCTCATCTCAGGAACATTTTCGGCTTTTCACTTTCCTGTAGATTTAAATCTAACCTTCTGTAGCCGTAATCTAATCTAACAACCAAAGCCTTAGTTGTGGTAATGCAGTATCCATTGAGAGGGACATTTCCTTTCCCGATGAAGAAATGTCCTTGAAAGTCTTGGCAGCTGACAGCAGCGCATTATTGCACCACGTCTTGTTGACATTCAACAGGCTGGAGCAAGGGCCCCACATGCTACGTCAGACAACAAGCACCAACAAGAAGCTCATACCACACTAAGACAATGACTCGGATCGGGCAGACAACAGAGTCAGGGGGAGAAAGAAAGTGCAATTTATGTGCCGGATTAAAAAATAAATAAATACATTTTACTCAAGGGGAAAAAAATGGTGAGAAACAAATTAGCATGCGTGTGTCACCGTTCAGGTGGAGTGCAGTCACTGCTTAGTCTCGTTTGTATACACTTTCATCCTTGTAAAATTGATAGATTTCCTTTAATCTTAGCGTGAATGCCTAATGAAATGTGGCTATTCTACTATTCTATTCTAAATAAACACTAAAGATGTCCGTACATAAATACGAAGACAATTTTATGCACTACATAATATTGCTGTTCTATAAAAAATAAAAATATATTGCTAGCCTACAACAGTTGAAATAATTCAACTGGACTTTTCTTGTTTGTTGAAAATGTTTCATCTCTTTATCGAAAAGGCTTCTTTAGTTTTAAATGGAGGAATGACATTCTATTGTGACAAACCCCCCAGGCTTTGCCTGGACTTGCTATAAGCTCCATAAAGTCTTGATCGGGGACTTGGTCTTGACTCTCAAAGTCTTGGCCTGGATTTTGTCTTGACCCCTAAAAGTCTTTGTCTGGATGTGGTTTCAACTTTTCAAAATCTTGGCCTGGACTTGGTCTGAGCTCCACAAAGCCACGGTCTGGACTCTTCTCAACTCCCCAATGTCTTGGTTTGCACTTGGTCTTGACTTCCCAAAGTCTTAGTGTGGATTTGGTCTCAAATGATCAGTCTTGATTATAAAGCTACACGTGATTTCTATTTGTTTTTCTAGTTGGATCACGTGTGCCTGGAGGTTAGGGATCACTGTCAGACTGAAGCCATTTATGGTGCCATCCTATAATCACACAACTACTGTTGTTTTTCAGTTCAGGAAAATGGAAAAATATCAGTCACTGCCTTCCGTTCTTTCTTATTTCTTCCACTGCTACAATTACTCCAATCAGTGCCTTTTGCACTAAAGCAGACAGATTAGTCGAGATGAGGGGATCGTTTAGACAAACCCCAATCATCATCATCATCATCGTCATCTTCCATTCCCTGTTGGTTCATTGTCTTTTTACCCTTCTTCTACAGTCCAATTTCTTCATACATGGAGCCCAGCTTTATATCTCCTCTCTGAGGACCCTTTCTTCCTGTTTTTGGACTTGACCGTTCAACCACGGCGCATCTCTATGCTTATGCATAGCCCTCAAAGAGCTGAGGACATTCCTCCGTGCCTTATTTCCCTCAAAGATCTTTGCGATGGTCTCTCACTCACACGACTTAACTTTCTGCCATGTGTGGACTTGATTTTAACACAGCAGAACAATAGTAGTTGCGGCAGCTCTGAAGTAAATTCAGTGATGAATCATGTCATATTTGTACTTCTAAAACCTTATGTTAGGCTGGGTTCCTCAAATACCACCCCAAAAAACCCACAAAAAAAACCACCAACAAAGGTCTTACCAGGGCCCTTCTCCAAAAAGATGACTTTGGACTCTGGAAAGAAGTTGCTCCCAGTGATGGCCATTTCCTCTCCCCCACAGACCAGACAGCTGGTCAGACTGGATTTGTCAACTTGTGGCAGCTCTTGAGCCGAACGCTGGGCTGGGGGTTACACAGCAGACGTTACAGACAAAAGAGTTTGCTAAGTCATCTTTTGTCACATTGACGGGGTAAAATATGGCATTTATTTCAGGAGTATATTAAGATTTTCACCAAGCGGTACAATTCAGTTCGGTTCTCCGCAGTATGATTTTAAACGGTAAGCCTTAAGAAATTTACACACCGCAGACGGCGCACAGATGAAAGTGGTACAGTTCAATCTCGCCCATAAATGGCAGTGGTTGCTAAGCGACAGAATAGGAAAAGAACCGTGTGCCTTTTCCCGCTTGTATGGATGTAAACGAAGCTGCAGCTCGGCAATATGTACTCGTGATTGTTCTACGACGGGAAGTCCTGGCTTTGATTAAAATAAGGAGGTGACGACAAGCCGAGCAACAGCCAAAAGAAAGCTGTGGGTCCATCTGATTCTAAGACCAGCGAGGGGGCATAAGCTCTTCCCCGAGCTCTCGCCCCATGATGGCCACTGATAGAACGGTACATCATTTGTCTTGTGTCCAAGAGCTTGGGACACTGTGACACTGCATTAATTATTGATTCTCCTTTTTTTTCTTCTCAATGTAGAACTGAACAAAAATGTGCTGTTTGGTGAAAAGGTGGATTTCAATTATTGTTAGGTAGAAAAACGTCATTTATAGTGCGCTTGTATGTGTTTGTGACTTACAGCATTCTACAGGAATAGAGGCCGCCTGCAGCGACAGAACCTTCCCATTCGGCTGAGGGATGTGAACCCTGAACACCACGCGTACCCGTGTGTTCTTCCTTCCAATGTCCGTCTCCCCCTTCCGCAGTTCAATGTCTGAGTTCCGTAGCTTCAGGATGCCTGCACAGTCGATACTGTGGGAAGAAGAAGGGAAAGTAGTTGGCTTGTAAATTGTGAAATCCAGAGAAAAGCAAATACATGCACAGCAGGGTTTTGGAAGAACCTTTTTAAATGTAAAATGTAAAACAAATGGGAAAGTCCAGACCACATCCTTTCCACTTAAATCCAATGTAAACAAATGAAGCAGGGCCTTCCGCAAATATAATCATGATGCAGGATCTTAAATAGTCACATGAAGTTTACGTCTCTACTCCTTTGGTGTTCACCACCTTATGTTGATTTAAATTAAAAATACATAAAAGTTCACATTGGGGTAAGCCATAAAAGCCGTAAACACGGCCGGACCTTCCTCACTGCGGGAAGCTCGTAAATGGAAAATGCAACCTGGAAATATGTGTGACATGTACCAGGCGGACATGTTGTTTTCAGGCAGGAGAGGAATTTCCAGAACTTTGGTGCTGGTGATCACAATCTCCTGGCTGGCCGTGGCCACAGTTTTCCCGGTGATGCGGTGCACTTGGTAAAAAGCATGCGGCCTCAAGTAACGGTCATCTGCTGTTCCGATGAACATCTGCAGGTTGACAGGCTTCTCGCTGTAGCCAACCAGCTGAAACATGACAGAAAACGGAATCAAGCACATGTGAGTACAGCTGTAAGGTGTGAACAAAGAAGCATTCAGCTGTCTGACTTTTGTTTGGGAGGGATTTCCAATGTCAGTTGAAGGTTGTTACAGTTCTGGCAAAGGCACTGGAGATTCATTTGGCATTTTGACATTCTATGAGTCTAACTGATGATTGACTTAATAGGCCTCGATATTTTTTCCTGTTCCAAACCTGGTGCAGGAGACAGTAATGCCACAAACCCAGTAATTCCCCAGAAGTTCACCTGGGGCTACTTTGGCAAAGCAGTATATGACATTGAGAAAAGAAATAAATACAGTGCAATCCATGTTTCTCCCTACCATAAAAACAAGAGAATTTATACCCTTAACTAGACCTCCAACGAGCCGGAGCGAATCCTGAACACATCCATCTGACTTTTTTGATTACAAAGAATCACATTGTGTGCTGGCTAAGTAACTAAATACAAATAAATATGCAATGACCGAAATGGTATCCTATTTGATGGGACTGATATTCAAATATTTCCACAGCTTGACAGATAGTAGCCATAATGAACGAATAGTTAAAAATAGAAATATAAAATGAGGACAATGCTGTCTTCAAGGTGCGAGCTCCACTCATAACGCTAAGGTTGGACCAAGGCTAAATATTTGTAGCTTCTTCAGAAGTGGAATTTTAGTGTCAAGTCTATCAGGAGTACCTTTCAGGGTACCAGTAGGAAATATTTTTAGCTTTTTTAGAAGTGGAATTTTAGTGTCAAGTCTATCAGGAGTACGTTTCAAGGTACCAGTAGTAAATATTTTTAGCTTTTTCAGAAGTGGAATTTTAGTGTCAAGTCTATAAGGATTCAGGGTACCAGCTCGGGTACAAGCCATTGTTACCCAAAAAGAAGACTGATGCACTTTCCTCTAAAGGCGACTGCATACAAAGCTCATTCATGGTTCAAGTCAGTTTGACAAGGAGAGAAAACTGCCAGTAGTAATGTTGTTGTCCTTTTCAAATCCAGTGTCTAACCCTGCCAACCGTGTTGGCCTCGCACACCCGGCAAGCAGCTGCTTTCTCCATTTGTCATGAGAGTTGCCACCCCGGTTTCCACTCAAGACAGGTGAGATATTTGGTGGCGGAAAGTGTTGCTTGTCTGGTATAGTTGAGGGCAAGATGGAAATAAGAGCAGGACCTTATTCTGAAACCCAGAAGCTGCACAATCCCACTACTGTTGTAATGTTGTGCTTGGCAGACTCGGTGACGGCAGGATGGCACCCCCGCTCACATTTGCACGCACTGTGCTGCCCTCACGGCCCACCCCCCGCCTATCCCCGGCTTAGATGGAGGGCAGCTCTTAGAGGCTCGCAGAGGAGAACAAGGTCTTTCAGTGCTGTTTGCACCCTGGGAACTGCCAAGCCTCAAGCGAGCTGCAGCTGGTTACTGACCCCATCTTCTTCTAAGCTTCGCGTCACACACCACCGCGTCAACGCTCTGTCCAATATTGTGGTAACTGGAGGGAGAGCTAGTGAGATTCATCACATGCTGTTCCAAAACCAACTGGAGTGAAAAGGCTTGTGTGAATAATCACGACCATACCTTGAACGACACTGACCTAAGTGAATGAAACATGCTTAATCAATCAAAAGGGGATTCATTATTTATCAAAACCAAAATATGAGACTATGCACCATTTCCACTGCAATTTAGCTACTGCGCTACTAGCTACATATGATACTTTTCTATTGGTAAGGGCGGCTACTAGCCTAAACCATACGGGTTCGCATGAAATACTTCTGGTCACTCACTGCTAAAACCAGACATGAAAAAAATAAACATATATGCTAACATTAGCATACCCTGCTGCTGTGCCTTTAGCTTTGGGCACGGCAGTGCTCTTCTGCACAATCAACATTTTACTGCAACATTTTATTTTCTTCCTCATTCTCTTCTAGGAGGAGACAATTAATCTACGAAAGACGAATAGGAGATAAGTAGAAGAAGTGAGCCAAATTATTTTATTAATCAAGGGACCCCTCAGAGTGTGGCCGTGGGCCGCATGTGGGCTGCTAGTTGCCAGTTGCCCAATCCTGCCCGAGCAGGCATCCAGTATTTCCATGAAATTTTGAGAACTGATACAATGTGCTCCCTTAAGTCTTATACATAGAATTGGCCTCTCTCAAAATTCACATGCTATTTATAAGGGAATCTCTCAAATAATCATTGCTTATAAAAGACACAAACAACCACAAGAAAATAGAATGCAAATCACAGCGTGATGTTATCATTATCCAAAAGCGATGACATTTTCAGAGTTCAAATGGATTTGCGTTAAGCCCACATAGTGCTGCTCAACAGGAAATACAGCACAAAACCTCTGTTGAGCTTTGTTTTTGGCACCACTTAAATCAATTCATTTGCTAAAATTGTTTCGATTTGAACTACAAAGTTCCATGCCCTCGGCTTCATTGTGAAGCAAAGACCCAAGAGGTTTATATATACGGATTCTGTATACTTTACAAAATCTTTTCTTTGTGCTCCGCAATGGAAGCATGACGGGATAAACATGACTGACTACTGGTACACATTCATGTGTGTGCTGAGTTTAATTAAGCAAGAGCTTACAGTCAATTCAAATATTCCCGAAACCAGTCTAACAGACACCACAGAAGGTAAATTCGGGTGCAGTAAACCGTGACTAGAATCCAAGTCCCTGTTGTAAACCACAGTATCTGGCACTTGAAATGTATTGGGAAGGAAGTTATACTAAGGAGCAGCATGTGGCCACCATAATAACCAGTTACAGGCTCATCTTTGGCAACCACACTAGGCAGATCTTAACCGCCACATGAAAGCATAAATCATGCTAGTAACAAGCTAACGGGTCATTACGCAGCCAAGTCTGAATGGTCCATGAGTGTAAATGACACGATTTTTATATTCAGAAAACCACACGGTCACACTTGTTTTGCCCAGGTGGTTAGTGCTTGCGCACGAACGCAGTGCAAACCATTTATCTGCAGCAGCAGCAGCAGCAGCAGCACATATGCCACAGACACAATAAAATGAGTTAAGAGCTGCGCGTGGAAAGATCAGAAACCCCACCAAAACTGGTCAAGTCCACCATCATGTGATGCTTTGCCATAGGCCGCAAGTAAGCAAGGAAACAAAAGCAACAAAAAATGCAGTTCTTCTTTCCAATATTTTGCCATTTAACATGCAATCTGCAAAGTCAGGAACAATGAAATTTCTTGGGCATGTCCATCATAAATAGACCCGCTACAAAGTCTCAAAAATCCATCTATGAAAAGACAAAGGAAGTCTGCCGTTTGGGTCGAAGCAGCCATTTTAGAGGTCTTGTGGCCATTTTCCTTCAAAGACAAACCAGTCCTTGACAGTTTGTGTGATTGCAACACATTTTGTTCCATTGTTTGTGGTCAGAGCATGGCAACCAACTTTAACACTCAAGAGTTTCATAAAACGTGTGGTGTGAGGACGGTCCCGCAACCATATAGGGCCAGTACCGGCTGAAATATGTACAGTAGATAGATTTTCTGCTCTTGAAGCTCGGAATTCCATGAAACTCAAAATACACGCTTTATGTCCCCCATCGTCCACTGTTTCAACTGTAATGGCTGCACGGGTAATGTATGCACACCCATTCATCACTCCATGGGGCTTCGATTTATTTCTTTATGATTTGGGATGGAGTGTTGACAAATGCATCAGGGTTTCTTTCCAAGCAAGCAGGAAATCAAGATAAGACGGGCCAGAAAAATGCCTCCTTTCATGTTGCATTGACGCTTAACAACGTTAACGCTTAACACAGAGGGACGATTTTCGTCGCTAAACCAAATGTGCAACCGTGTCTAAACAGATGATTATTTTCAATTTATGCTCTCTTTGATTCAATAATTAGAATTAGTTCTGAAAAATTTGAGGGTTCTTGAAATATCAGCCAGCAGGAGCCACAAAACTGTCTCTGTGAACAAAAAATAAACACGTGAGCCATAACGCGAGGATAGTTGGAAGAATAACATTTACTTTCACAACAAGAGCTCAAGCGCGGTTGCATCGCTTATAAGGGTAAAGCTACATGAAGAATGACAGCCCAACAGGGAAAAAGTGGGTCGTTCAGGTGAAAAGAAAAAGAAAAGAAAAGAAAAAGTATTAAAAGACAAAGTCACACAACACAACAATTCAGGTGAAAAGAAAAAGAAAAGAAAAAGTATTAAAAAAGTATTAAAAGACAAAGTCACACAACACAACAGCGCGTTTGACACCACACATGATGACATCATTTTGTTCAAAACGTACAAATTTGCAGTAAATTATGTGAAACCTTAGTGGTCTAATGTTCCCGTGTTCTGCAATATATTTGGTACTATTTGATTAGCTGATGGCCAGTGACAATCTGCGTATGGAGACAGTCGAGAATTTCGATTGGGTACCAAAGTATAAACAGTGCCAAAAAAACTCGCTTGAGACAGTTGCACCATATTGAGACACGTTTTATTGTGCTGATGTGTGTATCAAATTGAGACAGCCTGTAAATGACATCAAACTTGGTAAAGACACTCCGCAATGTCTTTTATGACATGGACTATTTTAGGACAAACATTTGCCTTCAGCCTTCAGATATTTATGCGCCAAATGGAAAATCTACCCTAGTTTGGACTTGGCCGTGTTAATTTTAGACCTTGTGCCACTAGCGCTCCGGCTTGAACACAATGTGTTTATGAAACAACAACAAGACGGATGGCGGGACTGAGCACTCTTCAAAGAGAGGAGGCTCGGGGTGGGGGGAATATTTAGGTAAACACACAGAAGGGTAAAAGAGGAGTTCTGGTTGAAGATGCGTCTCAACGACAAAAAACACAGCACATGCACGCTTGACTTGTCTCACATTCCGGAGTCACCCCCTAAATCTGTGCTGAGTGTGAAATACCGCAGGAGGGTGGTCTCTGCACTTTTACTCATCTTCTCTGTCTGTCCACAGCAA